TATGTCTGTGTGTTTGTGTGTGTCCGTGTGTGCGTGTATCTGTGAGTCAATTTGGCAGAGCTGCACACCTGAGCCTGCAGGGCCCCGTGCCCAGTGCTTTGAGAGGCATGGAGATTAAAAAAGAAAAGGCACGGTGTCTGTCTTCAAGGAATTGACAAGCAAGCACAGGAGATGACCTACATTCAGATAATAGATACTAGTGACAAAAGGCAGCATTTTGTAGATCCTACAACAGAGGCAAAGTCAATGTGCTCTATATAGGAGGCCAAATTCAGGTCTGGAACACTGAAGAAGGCTTCATGGAGGAAGAGGAACTTAAGCCCAGTGGAGATGAGGAAAGTCAGGCCAGGAAGAAACCACAGCCCCAGCAAGGACACAGAGGTGGGAAAGAGCATTCAGGAGCCACTGAGTTTTATTTAGTGGAGAGTAACCTGTCTAAAGAGGAGGAACAGAGGATAAAGTCAGGCAGGAGGGCTAAGGCCAGACTCTAGAGGCCTGAATGCCAGGCCAAGGAACAGGGAGTTCTGTCATCAGCTTCTGAATAAGGAAGACACGGTCAGATGTGATCAGCTATAAATTGCCTACAGCTATATTTATTCAGAGATGAGACAACTAACCAAGATAAGAAAGATGTAAATTGCCTATTGTGCCTGAAAAAATAACACTAATCCTTGTCATTTATGTGGACAGGCTTCTGTTTGTCTATGTATCATGCTGCATAATAATGGATCTGCATATGGTCCCACAGGTGTCATTTTCCTGTGGAATGCTATCTGCTCACAACTTAGAAAGCTTTATGTGTGTTCCATCTTCTTGGTTCATTGGTGTGACTCCCTCTGTGGACTGGTCTCCTCCACGATTTCCAGGCACAAGGAAGGGCAGGGGCCCCTTCTGCACCGCAATCCTCAAACACATCTGGGGAGCTTCTGCCTCCACTTCCATCCCCTGGTTTCAACCCCACAGGTGGGTCAACCTACAGCCCCTCTCTTTTCTCCTCCCCTGATCTCCCAGGCTCCTCCTCCCAGCCCAGGAAGAGTTTTTATAGCCTTCCTGTGTGATGGGAAAGCACCCTTCTGTCACGTCCCACTTAGTTCCCTCTTCTGTTGTTTACCTGTGTAAACTAAGCTCTAGTCCTCCAGCGTTGGCTCCTACAGACCCCACAAACCCCATTTCTCTCAAAGAATCTGGCTGTGCAGATAAAGATCCTGCAAATGAAAATCACCACTGTTGTCTCTGAAGTGTACTTTGAAGGCCTATCGAGGAAGTCAGGGACCGAAATTGGTCTTTACATTTCAGCTAGATTCTGTGAAGCTTCCTTTGTGGTAAAGAATTTAACTTTGCCTGAAGAGAGGTCTGCCCTTCACCTTTGGCCCCTGGGGAGGGCATCTCTAAATGCCTGGAATTTCCTGCTTCGTAAGAGTGTCTTTGCTTACCCAGGGGCTTTGAACCACACCAGAAAGTCAAACAATGTGATTTATCATGGGGACTTTGAGTCCCAGTTATCAGTTCAGCTTCTGGAGGAGCAAGAACCTGAGGTGAGCCACCTAGGCAGTTGACCATGGAACTCCAATAAAAACACTGGCCACTGAGGTTCAGGTAAGCTTCCCTGGTTGGCAAAACTGCACAGACATTATCACCCATCCTTGCTGGAAGAGGAACACTGTTCATGACACTGGGAGAGGACAACTAAAAGCTCTGTACCTGGAACTTTCCTAGATCCTGCCCCATGTGCCTCTTCATTTGGCTGACCTAAATCTACATCCTTTCCCTATAGTAAACCATAACATGAGTATAACAGCTTTCATTGAACTCTTTCGAACCTGAAGATGGTCTTGGGAACTTACAGTTTATGTCAAAGTGAGGGCAGCCTTGGGAACTGTTCCTCTAACTTTGTACCCCCTGACTCAGTAGATGCCTCAGCCTCAATGGGAAGAGAGGGCTACAAAAATATTAACAGCAATGAAAATTATACCTGATAACATTTGAAAATATTATCCCATCACACAAGTATAGAAGGGAAACCAACAATGCATAGCAGCCCATGGTAAATGCTCACAGTGATTTGCTGACTCAGAATTCAGAAGAGGGAGCAAGACTGTGCATAGAAGAGGTCAGGGGAGACTTCGTGGAGCTTGTAGGACTTGAGCTGGTATTTTCAGAAAGTAGAGAAATTAAACAGGCAGAGTGAAGAACAGCATCCCAGGTAGGAAGGACTAGTTTATATCAGCTTGCTAAATTGGCATGTTATTTAGAGGTCTACGGAAGAAAGGCTACAATAGAAAATTAGGGTATGATTAGTCTTGAAAGCTTCTTGATGTTATTTATTTCCCTGAACTCCGTCATTAAGCAATCATCGTGAAAACCTTTTCAAAATACCAAATAATCACCTTGCTTGTTTGGAACATGGAGACCATGCTCCTATTCTTGATGCTTCTTTGATTTTTTTCCACAGCCCATGCTAAACATATATATGAAAGAGTAAATTGGCCGTGAGAAAAAATGGTGTCAGTGAAGACCCCAGTGGCCTTTGCACCCACAAGAAAGCCTTGGTAATCAACAGGCTGTTGTACCCCCTGGTTCTGAGAGGTGCCAGTCACATAGGATGAAAGCAAACGGTGTCCTCTAGAGCTATGTGATGTGGCTGCCCTCATGGGTAAGGGAGGGCTTTAAGGCTACAAGTCTGATACTGCTAATTAGGATAAGAGGAACTGCCAAATGTGGGCACCCATACTGAAGGCCATAACATAATTAAAGCAAAGGGACGACATGTGCATACACAGACATACACACACACCAGGTGATAATGAGAACTATTAACCACTGTAACTTTATGGAGGCATAAACACCAAAGATAGCCGACTTGTCGTTCAGAGGAGGTAATCCAAACACCAGAATGTTGGGAGCAAGGGAGATCATAGCTCTCCTAGCCAGTTCAGCCTGGGGCTCAGAGCCACCATCAACCAGGAGCCTCAGGCCATGGGTGGCAGAAGCCTGAGCTTCTAAATATTCCCACCTGTCTTGGTTCAAGCTGGTATAATAGAATGCCACAGACTATGTAGTTTATAAACCACAGAATATCATTTCTCAAAGTTCTAGACGCTGGGAAGTCTAAGATCAGGGTACAGGCAGAGTCGGTGTCTGGTGAGGGCCCACTTCCTGGTTCCTAGGTGGACACCTCGTCAGTGTCTTTACATAGCAGAAAGGACAAAAGAGCTCTTGGGGGTCTGTTTAATAAGAACACTAGTCCCATTTGTGAGAGCACTGCTTCATGGCCTAATCACCTCCCAAAGGCTGCACTTGGCTCCTAATACCATCACATTGAGGGTTAGGATTTCAACACATGAGTTTTGGTGGGACGTAGACATTCAGTGCTTTGCACCACCCCACCTGGATATCTGGACCTTTTGCCATCTGTTTCCTCCAAAACACTACAGAAAATAGAATTTCCTCTTTCAATATGGCTTATAACATTTTTAGGAAGATGATGACCCACCCTGAGAATCTGATAAAAGTCCTAAACTCTTACCTCAAACACATGCACACACACAGAGTTTTGTGCAAAACTCCAGACAACCTGAAGCCCATCCTCAAAACCCTACTGCCTCATAGAACCAAAATGTAATCCTGCTACTCAATAAGGAATATCCTTTCCTTATTAATACTCAGCACTTTGCCTTTGTCAGGAGCTTCTGAATTTTAACTCTGCCACAGTGTCAGTGTGGTAATTTACTTTAAAGATTTTGGCTTGAACAATGTAATGTGCAAGAGGTGATCAGTTAGCATATGAAAAATCCTATCTAAGAATCCACAATTCAGAGGTGGCTAGCAAGCCCTTCAAATGTTGCTGCTCATATTTACTCCACAAGCTTGTTAAATAGCACAAAAGATGTTAGAGATCATCTATTTTGGTGAATGAGTGGTATTCAAGAAATATAGATGCTATTAAAATTATCCAGGCTCCTTGAAGACATTAACGCTAACTGCAATAAGCCAGACATAAAAGGACAAATATGATTCCATTTATATGAGGTACCTAGAATAGTCAAATTCAGAGACAGAAAGTAGAATGGTGGTTGCCAGGGGCTGAGGGGAGGTAAGAATGTTTAAGGGCTGTAAACTTTCTGTTTGGGATGATGAAAAGTTTCTAGAGATGGATGGGGGTGATGGCTGCACAGCAATATGAATGATATATTTCATGCCACTGAATTGTGACACTTAAAAAAATGGTAGAATTTTAGGTTATGGATATTTTACCAAAACAAAAAATATATATGTATCCAGTCCCTTCCGTGCCTACATAAATGAAGTATAAGGATCAGGCAAGCCCAGGACCTTTGGAGAAACCTGTCCCCTTGAGAAAAATCCTGTCCCCACCCTTTGGGGACTCCAACAAGCACCTTGTGGGAGTATCTTAATCCCATGAGGATGCAGTGGTTTAAGATAGCAAGGATAGCCAACCATGGACCTGGACTCTGAGTTTAACTTGACTCTAAAGTCATCAGAAATTATAGCATTTACCTTGAAGTAATGAGCTCATAAAGTCAATGAGAGGACCTTCTCCCAAGCTTACAAAAGCAGACTGCATGACTAGTTTTAAGCTGGCATATCTGGCAGAATTTAGTTTTGCTTTCTTTGTAACATCCCAGCCATGTTGTGGTGGTCCATATTCCCCTGTATTCATCAGAAGCTGTTAGTCTTTTACCCAAGGAGCCGGACAAGTGTTGAACAGACCAGATTTGCCCAAGCCACTTCCCAAATTCAGAAGAAACTCAGGGCTTGACCTCCAGCCAAGAATGCAGCAAAACCAACGGTAGCTCAGGCCTCCACCCCACCCCTGTTTTAACTACTCAAGGGTTTACACCCAGCAGAGATAGCTTTGACTTTGAGAAAAGCCACAGGATGAATACAGAATCCTGTCTTGTCTCCACCTAGATTCGATAAGAGAAACTATAGTGGCAAACCAAGATGTTTTAGGAGCTGCCCCATAATATTTTACCAGGTCTTAGGGAATATGAGGAGGAAAAGGAAACATGGTATCTATTTAATTAAGGAGTTAACCCAATTATGAGGAAACATAAATGCATGCCCCAATATAAATAAACATATACCTCAGACATAAAGTGTTCAACTATGTCATAACTTAGAGCTTGTAAAAATTAGAAAAAATTGCTAATTCTCAAAATTCAGAAGTTCTGTGTCCTAAAGAACAGGGAGTGAAATCACAGCGATCAACACAAGTGTGACCACATGCACTGCAGGTATTAATTAGTTTGTTCTTTCCATTATGCACACATGTTTATTGAGCGGGTACAATACACTAGGCAGATCCGGGATTACATGCAGATGAGAATGGCCTTGTCCTTTTTTTTTTTCTTTCCCCACAGGAGTTTATAGTTATTTAAAGAGGAAGTAAAACCAAAAAAAAACAAAAGACAAAAACCAATTTAGTGGTTGAAGAATTTTTTTTTCCCTGACTGCACTTCTGGCACCAAATGTGGGGGTTTTCCAAACCAACAAACTGATTTCTCTGTGACCTTACAATTCAATTCAACTCTGACACTAACTATCCAGAGATGGTGTCAGACTCCACAGGTTGAAGGGCTCAGTCCCACAAGACTGTCCCCCTTTAGACTCCAGTCACAAGTATAGGGTCCCCAAGTAATCTACACCTCTGACCAATTTGCCTACAAAGTCTGAGTTTCTGACAACCCCTCCTCAGTTTTGGTAATTTGCTAGAATGGATCACAGATCTCAGGAAAGCACTTTACTTACATTTACTGGTTTATTATAAAGATAGAACTTGTGAACAGCCAAATGGAAAAGATGCAGAGGGCCAGGTATGGGAAAGGGGCGTGGAGCTCCCTTGCCCTCTCTGGATGCACCACCCTTCCAGCACCTCGTAGTGTTCGCCAACCTGGAAGCTCTCCAAATCTTGTTCAATAGTTTTTACAGAGTTCACTCTCCAGCCCACTGCACCTTCCCAGAGCTCAGTGGGAGGGGCTGAAAATTCCCACTCCCCAGTCACTGGGTCTTTTAGATGACCGGTCCCATCTTGAGGCTATCTAGGGGTCCACTCTAAGTCTCCATCAGCATAAACTCAGGTGTGATGAAAGGGGCTCATTATGACTGGCAAAGTCAATCCTATCACTCGGGAAATTCCAGCGTTTTAGTTCCTCCTTGCCAGGACCTAGGACAAAGTCTAAATATATTTTTGTATTACACCGCAGTATTAAAATATTCGAAGCAGGTTTCAAGGGGACACAAACAAGGTACTGGACAATTTTATTGGGGGCAGTGAGTCAGGGAAAGCCTCAGACAGGAAGCCATGGCTGCATCTTAAAACAGGACAGCTGTCCACTGTGTAGACAATGGAGGAAATGACAAAGGGAACCAGAGACTAGCAATGGCCCAGCACCGGACCTTGGAGAACCAGTTCATGGGGACTACTGAAGAGCTCTGACTGGCCTCCCTGATTCCTCTGTGGTCCCATCCTGCACCCAAAAGTCAGAGGAATCATTTAGAAATGTACATCAAATCTTATCACTAGTTTGCTTTCAATTCTCCAAGGACTTTCTATTCCACAGCAAATAAAATCCAAACCCTTTGCCCTGGTCAACATGGCCCTGCTTGAATTGGCCCTGTCTACTTCTCTGTCCTAAAGCAACAACATTCTTTGCCCTTTGAAGGCCCCATTCTAGCCTGATCCGCTCTGGGGCAATTCCCCACCCACCCACGCTCCTTCCCATCTGGATGGTTAATCTTACGTGTAGACTTGACCAACCATAGAGTAGGTATTCGGATTAAACTTTGTTTCTGGATGTGGTTGGGAGGGTGTTTCCAGGTGAGATGAGCCTTTAAATCAGTGAACTCAGTAGATTGCACTTCCTCATGGGGGGGGGGGGGCGGGCGGGGGGGAACCATCATCCACAGTTTGTTGAGGGCCTGAATAGAAACAAAGGTGGAGGAAGGAGGAATTCACCCCTTTTTTGTGTCCTGCCTGCCTGTTGAGCAGTGACATCTCATCTTTTCTTCTCCTGCCCTCAGACTGGAGTTTACACCGTTGGTTCTCAGGCCTTCAGACTCGGACTGAACTGTGCCGCCTGCTTTCTTGGGTCTCCAGCTTGCTGATGGCAGATCGTGGGACTTCTCAGCCTCCATAAGCACATGAGCCAATTCCTCAGAATAAATCTTTTCTATATAAATAAATATACATATACAGACATATACCCATCTCCTACTGGTTCTGTTTCTCTGGAGAACCCTGATACACCATCCCAGCATCATCAGGCTTATGGATCCCCTTGTCGGCAGCAGAGGGTCTCATCAATGGTGCCGAGAAGTTTGGAGGCAGACTGATGAAGTACTCCATAGCACAGGTTCTGACGTCACATTGCCTCGGTTCCAGCTGTGGCTGTTCTTATCAACTGTGTGAAATTATTGAACTCCTCTGTGCCTTGCTTTCCTCATTTGTGGGATGGAAATACTAAACAAAAATAGTGCCTCCAGGGACACCTGGGTGGCTCAGTCGGTTAGGCGTCTGCCTTCAGCTCAGGTCATGATCCCAGGGTCCTGGGATCGAGCCCCACATCGGGCTCCCTGCTCCGCGGGGAGCCTGCTTCTCCCTCTCCCTCTGCCTGCTGCTCCCCCTGCTTGTGGTCTCTCTCTGACAAATAAATTAAAAAAAAAAAAATAGTGCTTCCATCTACGGAGTTATTGAAAGAATGATTTAGTTCTTACAAAGCTTTTAGTATAGTATCTGGTTCATAGCATAGAGGTGATGACGTTTCTTATTTTCCTATAGGTGAAGGTAGAAGGCTTGAAGGTGTTAACCTTAAAAATAAAAACTGCTAGGTGCTTTACCAGCAAAAAATGGGTTTGTTTGGAAATAAAAGGAGCAAAACCGTAGACAGGTATGGAGAACAAAAGAAAGGTACGCTTTTTTAAGGAGAAAAGGGGTAAGTTGGAAGGCTGTTATAAACTACAAGTCCAATGGAGTAAACTGGGAGTTCCAAGTATAGTGGCTTCTCATTGGCTGAGTTGTTGCGGGGGAGGTGGGGGTGGCACGAGTAAGGAAAGCCTTTCTTCCTCCAGCTCGGATAGTAAAGTAGTACCACGTGCAAAGTCAGGTCCTGCTGGGTCTTCCTGTTGGGTGTGCAATTTACTAGGAATGGTAGGGCATAAGAGCTCCCCCTGCGGAGCTTCCAGACTCCGTTTCAATGAGGTGTCCCATTATTAATATTCACAAAGGGTTTTGAGCAAGAGAGTAATGAGATCCGGTTTCCATTTTTGCACGTCAGTCTGTGATTCAGCGTGGAGGAGGTAGGTTTGACCAGTAAGGAGACTTCTACATTCCTTCATTCAGCAAACTCTGATTCTAGACAACGTGATGGGCGCTGGGAGAGTCGCTGTTGTCACCACGTGGCAATGGATTCTGCATCAAGTTCCAGCCTGAATTTTTCCCAACTTTGCTAAGACTGTCCTTCCAAAATCTTCTTCTCCAGGTGAATAGGCTCAGTTCCAGACCTGGATCTTTTTTAGTTACCTGGCAAGTAAAGAAGACACGGAACTGGAAGTTGAGACACGGATTCTGATCCTCATCTGGAAATAGAGGCAGTCACATGTGCCCTAAGGACCTCACAGAATTGCTGATGAACATAAAATAAGATACTTGACATGGGAGCCTGAGGAAAGACTAAACTCCTACTCTGGGTTGGTTGGTTGTTTTCTTTATTTTTTTGTGTTTTAAACAAAAATAATATATCCACATGGACAAAAATTCAAATAGTACAATAAGACATAAAATTAGAAATTAAAGTCTCCTGCTCACTCCACCCTCGACCTACATTCTCTCTCCACAAAAGGTAGCCATTGTTAACAACTTTTCATTTATCCTCCCTGAAAAAGCTTTTCTTGCATATATCTGCATTTTACATGTATATGTATTTAAAAGTTTACACAAATGGTATCATGAAGGTTTTAACCCATAAATGCGAAATTCTTTGACATTCATCCCAAATGAATGACTCAAAAAGTGGAGTCTAAATCCCCTCCCCTTGCATCTGGGCTTATTGACTGCTTGACCAATAGAATATGGTAGAAGTGATGTGGTGCCCGGTTCTTGGCCCTTCTGGTCTCGAGATGCTTATTCTTGGAACCCAGCCACCATGCTGTGAGGAAGCCAAGAAACCACACTGAGAGGCCACATGTGGGTGTTCCAGGTGACAGTCAACATCAACTGCCAGATATGTGAATGAGAAAACCTTCAGATGATTCCAGCCCGCAAATGTCAGGTCGCCCCCAGTATTGAAGCCATTCCAGCTGACTCCAGGTGGAGCAGAGACGAGCGGGCCCCATCAAACCCTCCCAGCTTGCAGATTTGTGAGCAAAATTCATGGTTGCTATAGTCTGAAGCCAGTGAGTTTGGGATGGTCCTTCTACAGCAACAGAAAACTGGAGCAGTGATCATATTTTACCCACTTCTATGAAATTCCTTTTTTGCTTTTAGTAAAAAATCTTGGAGATCTTTCAACACTATATACATGTCTAAATTGTTCATTTTAATTATCTAATCCTCCATTTTATGGATATTTCATATTGAATCAATCAACATCCTGTTGATGGGCATTTAGATCATTTCCAGTTTTTCTTCCATTTCAAACAATACTGCAATGAGCATTTTAGCATACTTTGGGGGTATATCTGTAGGATAAATTTCTAACGGTTAAATGTTGGGTAAAAAGGAATCAGCATGTGAAATCTTGATAACTATCACCAAATTCCATAAAATTCCAAATTCCCTTTCCCACAAAAGTAATAAAGGCTCCAGCAGCTTACACTCTTACCTGAATAAAACTGGGATTCTCTAAGGAAGAAAAATGAGGAGAAGCCTCAGTTATTCCTCTGGGGCCATCCTACCTTTATATACCTGAAGTGATATATAGTTATTTTCCAAAATTAACTAAAACGGAATTTGTTTCATGTATTTTTAAGGAATACAAACCAGAATGCTCTCAATCATAATTAAAGAAATGCCAACAAAAGAATATATTTTAAAATATTTATCCATTTAAAATAACAATAATTTAAAAATTACATGCCAACATATTTTTATAAAAATAACTATATTTTTCAAAACAAAAAATTTAGTGAGCAAAAAGACATTGTTTTATATTTTTGCAAATTAATTTCTGGCTCAATAGAAGAAAGCTGGACTCTCATGTCTGCTTTTGCATTCAACATGCTGCAATATGTTTTTTTCTTTTTGACATAAATTTAAAAAAAATTTCAACCCCACACAAATAATGTACATGAAAAAGGGGAAAATATTTTAATAGCTTTTTCCAATAACTGTAAATATTCTGCTCTGATATTACACTAAAACTTGACAAGTGTTAGAAAACCACAGGCCCAAAATGGAGTCACTTACGCTACACCACACCACCAAACGAGGGCTTAATACCTAACCTACTCACAGTGTCAAACTCCCTCAGAAATATAGTATTAACTGGTCAGTCTGGAATTTTCTGATCAGTGCCAATAGGGCTATCTGTCACATGTGCCCTCTTCATCCCTCAAAGGAAGATGAGATAATTCACCTAAGACCAATTTGTCTGCAATGGAAGGTGACCTCACCCAAAATAAGCCTTTTTTTCTGTTTATAACCTTCTTGTCCTGCCTTTAGAAGCCCATCCCTTTCTGTAGCCCTTTGGAAGTCCTCCCTACTTGCTAGATAAGATACTGCCCGATTCATGAATCATTTAATAAAGCCAATTAGATCTTTAAAATTTAGTCCACTGAATTTTTGTTATTTAACATAAGTGATCTATTCTTAAAGGTTAGCTGTGATGTTAACACACCTAATCTGAAATCAACTCACTAAATATTTTCATACTCTGTTACATTAAATTCTACTCATCTGTCTTGAACTTTGAGTGGATCTTTTACCCATGCATGATTTTGTAACATCATGCATCAGTCATTTGAGACTTTGGTTTACTAGGCAATGCAGAGCTTCTAAAGGTTGGTATGTTTCATTATACAGTATCAAAAAGAATCACATTCATTTATAACACTACCATTCTCATCATAAAAGACTTTAAGGATTGGAAGTTGTCAAGATCACAGTGGCAGATACAAGCTTTTTGAAATTCTCATTTTTGCTTGAGACTCTAATTTTTTCATTGGCAATAAATAGTGTCAGTTGTTTTCCTTGAAGTAACAGGCTCACTTTGTTCATTTTCAAGAGTATATCTGTCAAATACTCAAGTCTGAATAGCCATACTTTGACAATTGTTTTTTCAAGTAAAAATTTTGTTTCGTGAAAAAAAAAAGAAAAAGGCCAGTTCCGCTTACAATCCAAACAATAGCAAAAGTGCTTTCCTTTGAGACAATCATCACACTTTGGTTTGCAGCAGAAGTACTTTACACAGAATATTTAAAATATCTGTGCCCAGGGATGGCAATTTAACAAAATTCAGAGTTATTACCATTTTATCAGATAATTCTTAGGTGCAACTGAGTTTTTTTTAACTACTAATATAATTTGATATCACTACCATAATTCATGATAAAGTACCAGGACTTTTATCCACCATTAATTTTGCATCACCACCACTGGAAATATCAACACAGAGAACAAAGCAAATAACATTTACTTATTTTTATTACAAAACTAGTTTTAATCTTATAGAGCCCCTAAAATGACCTCAAGATCCTCAGAGGTATGCAGACCATACTTCAGCAACCTCTGGTCTAGGCAAATCATGGTAAATCCATTTGCCTAGTTGTTGATTGGTACAAATCCAGCCAAGGAGATATGAGGAAAAATCTTTTAGGGGATTTTGGAAAAGTTCTCCTTACTCTTAAAAGGGGTCTCAAAACTCAAAGAGATATTTGTACACCCATGTCCACTGCAGCATTATTCACAATAGCCAAGAGGTAGAAAAAAACAAATGTCCAATGATGGATGAATGGATAAACAGTGGTATATACACACAACAGAATACTACTCAGCCTTAAAAAGGAAAGAAATTTTGACACATGCTACAGTGAGTGAATCTTGAGGACATTATGCCGTGTGAAATAAGCTAGACACAAAAACAAATACTGTATGATTTCACTTATATGGGATATCCAGAGTAGTAAAATTCACAGAGACAGAAAGTAGAATGGTGATTGCCAGGACCTTGGCATGGAGGGAATGGAGGATTGTTGCTTAATGGGTCGAGAGTTTTAGTTTTGCAAGATGAATAAAATTTAGAGATTAGTTGCACAACAACGTGAACGTAACAGTACTGAACTGTATACTTAAAAATAAAGATGGTAAATTTTATGTTATGTGTATTTTACTGAAATAAAAATTTTTTTTATTTTTAAATCAAATAAAAATGTTAAGAAGGGTCTCATGGATAAAATAGGTGATGGGGATTAAGGAGTGCACTTGTGATGAGCACTGGGCAGTGTGTAGAATTGTTGAATCACTATAGTGTATACCAGAAACTAATATAACATGGTATGTTAACTGGAATTAAGATAAAAACTTAATTTAAAAAAAGGTCTTAAAAATGGGAAAATAGATTTCTATTCTAGCCTTTGGTTGATGGTGTGCAGAGAGGTGATACTAAAGCCATACTGCCATCATAAGAGGTTGAACTCCAACACTTGGAGGATGACAGAGCAGAAGGATGAAATAATGGAAGAGCTTGAATCTTTGATAACATGATTAAGACCCTAAATTAACCGACCTTGGAACCTCCTACTGCCAATCTTACTACGTAAGTTAACACATTTTCCTTTTTCCTTAAGAAATATTCACTGGGCTATTCTGTTACTTGTAGCTAAAAGCATCCTCACTGATACCAGGAGGAAAGTATCAAAAAAGTACACAATGAGTTTAGCCATTCCTCTGCCCCACAGTCATGGTACAGTCTTGGGAAAATCATTCCATTGCTCCCCTACTGTTCAAGGTGGAAAATGGATGAGATATCAAGGGACACTTCCTATGACTTTTAACAGATTTGCTATTATATATGCTGGAAATTTGGTATGTCGTAAAGTTTGCTTATCCACATTGGTCTTTTACGGCTAAGTAAATATTGAGATTTATTCTTTTTAGATCTAAGCAATTTATCTGCTTGCCACTGACTTTCCCTGAACTACTCGGAGGATTGATTTGTTTTAGGAAGCTTGAAATGACAGGTAAGGATTCCTCATGTCAGAGTGTATGTTATGCAGAGGCCTGCCACATGGTCAAGGTGATGAAGACCTCCTCTCCACAAGAAATCTCAGAACTTGGGGCACCTGGGTGGCTCAGTCATTAAACGTCTGCCTTCAGCTCAGGTCATGGTCCCAGGGTCCTGGGATCGAGCCCCGCATCAGGCTCCCTGCTCCATGGGAAGCCTGCTTCTCCCTCTCCCACTCCCCCTGCTTGTGTTCCCTCTCTCGCTGTTTCTCTCTCTGTCAAATAAATAAAATCTTGAAAAAAAGAAAGAAATCTCAGAACTTGTGTGAGTTATAGCCTTTATCTCCCTACTGGGTAACTTC